TGATAAAGGTTCATTGTTTATTCTGAGTTTATATCATTTGCTTCAGTAGTCACAAATTATTACAGGATAATGATCTATCCTTAAGAAAAAATTTCTTAAATTCTCTATTTTATTTTACCTTTATCTTTCTAATACTGTGTTAGTTACATAGCATCTTAACTGATATAAACCAATATGGACATTTAAACCACCCACTGACTCACTCACTCACATAATCATTGCTTCATTAAAACTTATCTTTGAACCTGGACTCTGAAACACACACCATATTTGGAACTATAGAGAATATAAGTATATATAAATCATGATTCTTGTATTTATCATCTTACATTCTGGGAATGGATTTAACAGCAAAAAGAAATAGACAAAAGGTAAATCATCATAGACCCCGTCCTCTTCCCAAATTTCTATATCCAGGCCCATCTAGTTTCATTTATTTTCAGTGTCCCATACTCTCCAGCCAAATCACAATGCACACGTTAGTTCCCTCAAAGGATTATTTTTCCATGAAAGTCCTTCAACAATTCAGATTACTTCTCTGCTCCCAAACCTTACTCCTAACTCTCACACCTTTTCTTTAAGGAATAGACATTAAATGATATTATACTACCGCCCTTTGAATGGTCTTATAAAGATAGTATTTATGGACTGTTTTTTAACCCTTCAAACATAGTAACAACAATATTTTTTATAGTTTAAAAAGTTCTACAAAGACAGTGAAAATATCAAAATAGACTCTTTATTTGCAGACAAATACAGTAATAGGCAAGCAGGCAGGCAGGAAGCAAGGATGGGAGGAAGGAAGGGGTAGACAAACAAGAACATTAAACTAAATTTTCTAAACAGGCTGAGATACAACAAGTCTCCAAGCAACCATATGCTTTACATGTGGTTTTTGTACAGAATTTTACAAATGATAGCAACCCAAAGGCTTATTTACTATACTGCTGTTATTATCTCACACACTTGAGAGGGATTAGCACTATTGATAGTCTTTGTCTCTTTTTTCAAGTAAAAAAAGGTACAAGATTTTCACAGGAGAAAACCTATTGTGCAACAAAATATGAATATCTGCTTCAATATATACTAAAGGCCTTAATTCTACATGTATGCACAACTTAGACATGTATTGGAAGTGATATTTAAAGCAAAGCATTTTTGGGTGGTAAAAATGCCATCTTAAGTGCTAAAGTGACCATATTAATTGTTAAAGTGATCATATAGGTAGGATTAAGTGTTAAAGGGATCATATAAATAAGATAAAGTGCTTGGCAATAATAATAGACAGAATGAAAAGGGAGAAAATGTTCCAACATGGGAAGAAATCCATACAGCAGACTCATAGAATGACAATTGCTTTAAATAGCAATCTGACCTCAGAATCAGCCCTTAAGGCATTCTGGTCTGGCTAAAAAGCCTATGAAAGCATTTCAGGCATGGAAAGCCAAGACACTGTGGCAAAAAAAAAATGTCTTACATTAAGGGACCATCAAAGAAGAATGTACTTTTCTCTGAAGGGAGGAGAGAATGTCCACCTTGCTATGGCCTTGTCCAAAAACTGATGGGAGTTTGTGGACTCAAAAGGCTTCCATAGCCTTGGAAGCTCATGTCAAGAGCCTCAGATGATCAATGGTGTCATACATAAGAGTGCTAATTGTTAAATTAACAACAGGAGTCACTGTGCACTTACTTCCCATGTAGGACCTCTGTCCTCAATAAGTTGTATTATGAGAATTAACAATAAAATTTGTTCCCAAACAGTTTGTATATGTGTGTGTGTGTGTGTGTGTGTGTTGAAATCTTTACTTAGTATAGAGTTGTTCTTCTGTGTATAAAGTTAATTGAAAATGAATCTTAATGGAGAATGGGACTGGGAATGGGAGAGGGAGGAGGAAGTGGGATGGTTTGGGGACAGGAGGGAGGGTATGGGGAAGAATCAATGTATTCCTAAAGTTGTACTTATGAAATTTGCCCCCATTAAATAAAAGGTTTCTTTGGGGAAAAAAAAAACACTGGTAGTGGATGAAAAAAAATAAAACATTACAAAGTTGTATTTTTAATATTTCAATCATGATGTTATAATTATATAACTTTCTTGTTAGATTAAATTTGTTTTTTAACTTAATAGCAAAAGAGGTATAAGCCAATGTGATAAAAATACTGCATTTCTGGCTTGAGTAATAAGAGCTCCTATTGCTTTCAAATTAGTTTTGTTAATGAGAAACAAATATTTCTAAATTTTTATGGAATGATTAGAAGTGTTAATCTAAAATAAATACACAATGAACATGCTACACAAGTTCAACAAACCTCTATTATAATAATAGTTTATATGTTCTTAATTATTAGTATATCTAGTTCTGGATTTAGGGGGCCACAGTGAATTTAAAATCATACTCTTGTAAAAGTTGCATGAACAGTACTGGATATTGAATCATGCTTATTGAACTTTATCATTAATAAATCATTAATAAAATCATTAATAAAATCAAGTATAAAAAGAAAATAAAATGATAAGGATGAATAAATATAAGCAACCCTCTTGGTTAATATGCAAGATCAAACATAAAAAATTGATTTTTATTCCCTGGCCTTGATGCCTCTTGTTTTATAGCTTGGGCTGGGCATGAAGATTGAGTCATTAATCTTTTAAGGAGAAGATGCCAAGTGTACTCCTCTTCTACTTAATCTATGGATATTAGTAATGATGCTACTCAGTAAGCTACCTATCTGCTTCTCCCAAGAAATGGTGTTATGAAAACAACAAATCAGCTTAAATAGGTGTAAGCTATGAAATTATATGGATTACAATAATATTATATATTTCTAAATTGTACTTAATACCCAAAGATAAGACAAACTTCCACTTAGGTCCTAACATAGTCACAGAGCGAGCTATTTAATTAATATTTGTAGAAAGGTAAACAAAGCAAGCATAGTACGAAATCATAGTTCCTGCCTTATTTGTCATTTTTACATTATAATACAGAAAGTCATTTGGTATGAAAGGTAGTATTTGACAACTGCATTAGTAAACTGAAGAGATAAAGGCCTCCAAACTTCTGCCTAATGTACGACAACATTTTATTACCTCTCTCCTAAAATAATTATATCATTACAATGAACCTGTAATTTCAAACAGGTCACTGAGTGTTCACTAGTCTCTGGAGCAGGAGATATGAATTTTCCAACTGTCCCATGTTTGCCTCTCAAATATACTAATCAAGTTTGAATTTGATAAAATTGCTTGTCCTCAAATTTGAGTTCATATAGAATGGACCTGTCACCACTATTTTAAGATGAGAAAAAAAAGTCACGCTTGCATTTCAACAAATGAATGACAGATCTAATAGCCATAAAAAGTGAAAAATTAAGATATTAGATAATCAACTATAATAATCAGAAAAATGAAATTTTTAAGGCTCAATCAATATTTCCATTTTGGAAGAACTATTGTTCTGTTATTAAATTTATACAGGTGAGTGTTTCTTTTCTATGTAGCCAATATCTCAAATATCTATGTTAAATGCTTTTAATGTAAATTGCTAGTTTAGAAAACATCACTCTTGAAGAAATTATCAGCTTTTATCAGTTTATTCCTCCTTTTTCCTAATCTAACTCCCTTGCTTATGGTCAACTTTACTTGCAAGATATAGACAAAGAAATCTAGATAAATGCTATTTGCTAGAAATCCATTAAAACTGCATAATGCACGATTTATAATCCTACCCTCGGGTTTTCTCTCATTCAGAAAGATCCACCAAGAATAGATTAAACAAAGTGCAAAAATACAAACGCTATTTTTTCCCATTACCTACAACCACATCAATCGCAGATATAAACAAGAACCAAAATGTTGTAGAACCAACAATAGGCGCAGTACAGTTCATTTCACTTTCAACCCTTCAGTAAACTTTTGGCCCTGGACAAAGCCTTCCACAAGTCCCTGCAGACTTTTTCCCCAAACAGGGTTTATGAGAGCAGAACTGTTCTCTATTGCCCTTGGATGCGGTCTTTTCTGTGACTTGGACATCCGTGAACCTGAGGGACTAAGATCGCTGCTGCACAGCTTCGATTCAACCCTTCCATTACCTCTCCCTTCTGAATTCCAAAGACGCTTCTGTGCATGCAATTCTTCATCTCACAAAATTCTTGAGCCTCTTGCCGAGTATCTTAACTCTCTTTCCCCCACTCTCTTTCTGTCTCTGGAATTAACAGACAACACACTCTGTTTCTAGCAAATGAACATAATAGATTTTTCTGTCCTTTATTTTAAAAGCTAGGACTTCAAAAATTCTGTAGCTCCACATTCAGTCTGAGTGGGGCAAGAATTTGTATTATCAGCGGTTTATTAGACGAAGTATAATTCCACATGAATAGCAGTATTTAATCAATTGTCTCGTACATTCCTCTAACTCCAAATACCAATCGTCAACTACAAACCAAGAGGCTCGCTAACATGTAATGTTTTCCAGAAGTCTCCACACCAATCTATCCAGCAGCTTCTTTCATTGCCATTCTACCTTACCTCCGTATTTCCTACTAAAACTGTACAGTATTTCCACCTGACATTTTCTTCAACAACACTGGTACTTTCTTCAAATATTTCTAACTAATTCAACAAAATAAGCAAAGTACAAGCCTCAAAAGCATCTGCCCTAAGGAAATTTGCCATTGAAACAACATTAAAATTTAACACGGAAAAAATTCCACAATATTTCCATATAAAAATTAAAAGGACAGTCTTCATAAAACAAAGTTGAAAATCACAATATAAAACGAAATCTAAATGTACGCTTTTGGTACTGAATCCATTCTAAACCATGGAAATGAACAATATAATCGACATTTTTTCAATCTACCCCCTTTAACTGTACTCTACCCATTTGCTCATATGTCTACAATATCTACACAGTCCTCAACCTCTCCACAAACGGCACATGTGAAAATGTAACACCATTGCCTAACATCATTAAAAATGAAGAAGGAACACTGCTTACCAGAGCCTCTTTTGGTTACAACCTTCAAACTCTGTGTAAAAGTAGCATATAAGAGAATCAAATGAGGAATCGGAGCTTTCATCTTCCAGCTGTTAAAGGCTGTTCCCTAAAGCAAAGATAAAAAAGAACATACATATTTTTAAATATATAGCAACATGCTAAGATTTTTTTGGTAAGGCCTTTGATAAAGCACAATCGAAACGATGAATTACATAAGAGGAAATAACATGAACAGGATCTTATATTTTACCATAGGTATGGTCCAAAGTTAAAACTAGTAATTTCAAAATTACATCTCTATAGGCCACCCAATATGCTTTAAAATCTTATGTTCTATCAAGATTTATCATTTAAAGGGGCCAGCTTTGTGGCATAGCAAGTAAAACTGCTGCCTATGACATCAGCATCCCATATTGACACAGGTTCAAGTCACCACTACTCCACTTGTGATCCAGCTCCCTGCTAGCGCGCCGGGGAAGCGCAGGATGACTCAAGTGCTTGGTCTTCTCCACCCACATGGGACACTCAGCTGAAGCGCCTGGCTCCCGGCTTCAGGCTGGCCCAGCCCTGGCCATTTGGGGAGTGAACCAGCAGATAGAAGATGTCTGTCTCTCGCTCTCTCTCTCTCACATTTTTCTTTACCCTCTCCCACGCTCTCTGTAACTGCCTTTCAAATAAAATAAAACTTAAAAAAAAAAAAAGATTTAAAATTTCTCCTTATTGAGAAGTTCCAATTGTATTTAACTAAGTGGGAAAATCCCTTCAGCAGGATCATTTCACTTGCAAATTATTTCTAATATAAATTACCCAAACTGACAGGTTAAAATGTTCCATGCTGTGATAGGATGTGGTTCCATTCAGTTTCACTGTTTGTATTTAAGATGAAATCATAAGTTATATACTTCTAAGGATTTAATTGTGATTTTACAATTCTCTTTCAGAAAAACTCGAAAAGCTATTTCAAGAGAATTTTCAGACTTTCATCTCTGTTGAAAGAAGGCACAATGCCAATGAAAACTACAAAATGATACATCATTTCTTCCTTCACCCCGAGGTTCTCACAACAATACTTGAAGGGACACTAGTTTGCTGTTAGCATTTCAAAAGGAGGAAACATTTAATTTTAAATTAACTAAATGAATCTTTTCTCCCTTGGAAAACAATCCTTTTTTTCAAGCTTTTTGGAGACATAATTGTATATATTAAGGTGCACACTGTGGAGCTTTGATATACACAGATTGTGTGAATGGCTGCCACAAACAAGTTAGTTAACACAACCAGCACTTGACAGTTACCATTTTTTGGTGAGTAGTGAGGGCACTTAAGATACTCTCAGCAAATTTTAAGTATGCAATACAGTACATATTATCTTTACCCATCCTGCTGTATACTCTATCGCCAGAACTAATTACTGTTAAAAGTACAAGTCTGTCCTCTATGACCAACTCCTCTCCATTTCCCCTACCCCCCCTTCGCAGGCCCTGGGGACTACCGTTCTATTCTCTGTTTCTTTGCATTTTGTATGAGACTGAGACTGTAGAGCTGCAACCCTGAATTCAAAAAGTGGCAAATCAGAACAGAGTTCAAATACACTGTCAATCCACGACAGCACAAGTGTCTTCGGAAGACATCTGAGGACTGATCCTATCCAGCTTCTCCATCACTATGACTTTATTAAGGATGAGGAGGCTCAAATGCTGATCTGACAGTCACATTTCTCGCTCTCCCAGAGCCTCAGATACCTCTGAATATTTTTTAAATGATTAATTCACTCACATTAATACAAGTCTGTTAAAACACATATTAATTCACAAAACAAAATAAAAATCCATTCACTTGTAGCTAACTGTTACCATAATCATTCTGGTCAGAAAATCAATGTATCTATAAAACAGCATTGAGGATAAGCCATTTTAACTCTAGCATCTTTTAAGTGATGAGAGCTGGGTTCAGTTTTCTAACCAAGGATCTCAAGTTCACACACAGTCACAAATGAAACCTAGTCTGAAGACTCAATTCATCAGCCACATCTGAGGAACCGCCACACGAAGGTGCAAGCCTGAGCCAGGCATTCCGAAAACCCAAATCCCATTTCCCAGCCACTGCACTAACTGGAGCTACAGGAAGTCTTCACGGTGGCATCTTCAGCCTTCAGGTTAGCAGTGAGAACCCGCTCCTCTCTCAGTGTGCGTTTAATCAGCGCTGCCCAACAAACTCCAGGATCCAACTAGTCACTGCAAAGCCTTCCAGCTTACATTTCTTACTACTTTGCTGTTGCTCCAAATACTATTTCCTTACTCGTTTCATTTCTATAAGGCATATACACTAGCGTTCCATTCTATTTCTTAAAATTAAATTGGTTTGGAAAGCAGCAATTTGGTAACATGAAGATCTTAACAGAATCTCTTGGAACGCTGTGCATTAGGGAAAACAAACAAACAAACAAAAGGATTACATAGCATTACACAGACTTAACGTCTTTGTCAATCTATAATAAACTTTACAAACCTCTTGGAGGAAATTTATTGTACCTACATTGAAAGATTAAATACATGTATCCATAGACATACCCGCTTTGCTACACTCCTGACATAATTGAAACTCTTATGCAGAAATAGCAATGCAAACTATGTACTGAGCCCCCCTTTATCAGTGTGGGACACATTCCAAGACCTCTAGTGGCTGCATGAAATCTCAGATACTATTGAACCCTACATATACAATGCTTTTCCTATGCATAAATGCATATCGAGTTTAATTTATAAATGAGGCACAGAAGATGAACCATAACTGATAAAAATAGAATTATAATAATACACGATAGTGAAAGCTAATGTTGCATCCCTGTCTTTCAAATGACCTTACTGTGCTGTACTCATCCTTATGACGATGATGATGTGAGATGATACTACGCCTACTACTTGATGACATGAAGTGAGGTGAATGACGTCAGCATTGTGACCAAGTGTTAGGCTGCTACATAGAGGTTATTTTCACACAAGCACTGTGATACAATGACAGCCTACCTAATAACTGAGCCCCCTACTAAGTGTCTAAAGGATAGCATATACAGCATGGATCCACTGGACAAAGGATGACTCATGCCTCAGGTTCATGTCTTAATGTTGGGATTAAGAGGTGCAGAGGATGCTGCCAAGCTGTCCTCGGGGAAGCACACTTCCCTGGTACAGGACACGGCGGCAGTCCTGTCTCTGCCTAAGCGGGCTAGGTGAGGGCACATGCTCCCAGGGGAATGCGGCAGCACAAGGCAGCTGGGTGGCTAATCTGTACTTGGAAATAAATGCTGGTTTTGGGAGCTTCAGACTAGGATGAAAGCTCTGGCTACCTGTGACATGGGTCAGGATGTACTGCATGACGTGGATCACCTCGCCGTCCCTTGTCACAGAACATAAAGCCTCTTCTTCCTTGTTCTTATAGTGAACTTTTGTCAATGTATTATTATGCCTACATGCTTGCCTGTGTGCATAGTTTTCTCTACTCCATAATAAAAAGTACTAGCCAGGAGCTACCGGGCGGTACTCTTCCGTAGAAGACTCCTGTGTCCTGTCTCGTCATGATCGATTCATTGCAAAGAGGTACAGAATGAGACTTCATCATGTTACTCAACACTGTGCGTAATTTAAAGCTGTTACATAAACCATTCATTTTTAGAATTCTTCATTTAATGTTCTCAGACTATAGCTGATGACAGGCAACTGAAACCATAAAAAATGAAAGTGTGGATTGGTGGGGAGGAAGGCTACTATATAAACATCTACTCAATTTTTCATATTATTGTCAAATTGCAGTTCATATGATCAGCGAATCAAGTTCAAAAGGCTGAAATTTCTGGGCGGGGGAACTGAAACAACTCACCTGTTTTCTGTCAAGAACCTCATTCGCCACTTGGCTTCAAATACACCACGACTAAATCTTGTACAGAATGCCACATCACAGCAGTTAAGAGAAGTAGGCTTGTCTGCATTCATACCCCAGCTTTGCTACCTATCAGCTAGGTGATTTGGGGCAAACAACTTATTCTGTGACTAGCTTCTTCACTTGCAAAATAAGGATTGCAACAGTATATATAGCATTGTTCCAAGAATAGTATATAAAGAATGAAATCAATAAATGAAAGTTGCTATTGTTACTGCAGTTGTATAATTATGTATCATTTTATTAATACTATTGTAGACTCAACTCACACACACACACACACACACACACACACCCGTGAAACTCTTGGCATATACTAGCTTTCTTTACCCCATCCCACACTATAAGCTTGTCTTTATTCATATGTGTTGCTAGTCTACTAAGCTTAAAGGCCTGGCAGGGTGAAAGTGTGCTTTATTCAACTTTTGTATGTCCAATATTCAATGAATGCTAGCTGACAAAAACGAAAGAATGAAAGACTAAATGTTGCTCCTATTATAGGCACTTCCGATTTGGCATTGACACTTATCATCTGTGAGACACTTATGGAGTATATACTAGTTACAAGCTGCCGTGCTATGGTGCAGTGGGGACACAAAGACAATGCAAGGCAGTCTAAGAAAGAGTGCTCACAGACCAATAAAGGAGACAAATGCTTACCTACTTAATTAGACTGGCCTTGTTGCCATATGGTGACTACAATATGTTGAGGGAGTAGAGGGAGGAATCTATTAATTCGGCTCCAGGTTCAGTCTGGTGAAGTTTTATGACAGGGTTTTCAAAGGAAGGAACATTTCATCTTGAACATGAAGTAGAGACTTTCTAAGGGAAAGGGAAATGGAACTCTGGATCAAAGACAAAGGATGAATCAAATAGGGTGGTGGGCAGAATAATGCCCTAGCACACTAAATGTTTCCACATACTCATCTCTGGAGCCTATGAATATCTCAGCTTGCACAGCAAAAGGACTGAATATATACAATTATGTTAAGGATTTTGAAATGAGAGATGATAATTCATGTGTTTCCATCAATAAGCTCCCTTGAAAATGGACAAGAGAAGAATCAGAGGAGCTGGGGCTGTGGTGTAGCAGGTAAAGCTGCTGCTTGTGGTGCTGGCATCCCATATGCTGGCATCCCATATGGGTTTGAGTCCTGGCTGCTCCACTTC